TTAATATAAAAAAATTATAAAGATTGATTAAAATTTGAATAATTTTTATTAGAAGTAATTATTAATTTTTATATTGAAGTATAAATCTTTTTGCACTAACTCATATTATTAATAATCTTATAAGTTATTATTTAGAATTAATTTATAATTTTATTAATAAGTATCTTTTTCTAAGTTGCTTTCTTATTTTATAAAATTAATAGAGCAAAATTAATATAAGATAATTTTTATTTTTTTATTACTTATATTTTTTATTACTTAATATTTTTAATAAGTTTTTTAAATATATCTTATTTTAGTTTATTTTAAATTTTTTATGAATTAATTATTATTTAAAGACTTATTTTTTATCTACTTATATAATATTAAAGTTTTATTTATTATAATTATAATAATTATCTGATATTTTTTTATTTAATCTTGATTCAGTATAGCTTTAATACTTTTTAATAATTTTAAGATAATATTTAATATGCTTATTTTATTTTAGTATTAAATTAAAAATTTTAGAAATCTTGAAAGAATAAAAGTTTTTAATTAATCTAAAAGATATATAATAATTAATAGAATTAAACTTTTATTTGAAAAATAAATTTTACAAATAGATAAATATAAATTAAATATCTTATAATAGCTATATTTCTAATTTAATTCTCTAATTTAACTTTTAAAAATTTTTTTTTTAATTTTTAAAATATCTATTAGCTCTTAAAAATATTTGCTAAATATTTCTTTTAATAATATTTAATATTAAATATATATAGTATTCTAATATTATTTTATAAAAATAAAATTTTATATTATTTTATATATATATTTTATTATATATTAAATAAATTTTAATTACATATATATTATTATATTTAAAAATAATTAAGTTTTTTATTATTAATTATATTTATTTAATTAAATTTTTTATTAAAAATAAAATATAATAAGTTTTTTAATTAATAAAATAATATATTATATATTAAAAAATTATAATATAAGTTTTTATAAAAAATAAAAATTAATATTTTGAAATTTAAATTATAATTTATAAAAATTTATATATAATAATAATTATAATTAATATTAAAAAATAATTTTATTATATTAAAATATTTTATATAAATTTAAAAATATTTATTTTTTTTATTAATAAATTTTACTTATAAACAATATAATTTTTAAATTATCAAAATTTAATATAAATATATATAATAATTATCTATTAATTATTAATTTTTTATTTAAATATATATTATAGTGATAATCAAAAATAATATAATACTTAAATTTTTTACTAATTATAATTAGTAAAAAATTTAAGTATTGTATTATTTTTATATATTAAATAAAATTCAGTCTATTTTATTATTATTTTATATTTTATTATATTATAAATTCTTTTTAATATTAAATAAATTAAATTAATATAGATTTTAATATTAATTTTCTATTAAATCTATTATATATTGTTCTATTTACTTTTCTTATTTTAAAATTTATTTAGAAAAATATTAGAAATAATAATTAATATTATTTTATAAATATTTAATAAAATTTAAATTAGAAAATTATAAAACTCAAATATAATTATTTTTAAATTACTATTTTATTAAAATTACTATATATTGAGAGTTTTTATCTTGTTAAAAAAATATTATTTTTAATATTAAACTTATAATTCTGAATAATATTCACAAGATTTTTATAAAATATTTATTAATATAATTTAATAATTATAATATTATTAATTTTATAAAAGTTATTAATATTTAGAATATAAAGTAATATTAAATTACTATTAATTTATTTATAAATTTTATTATAGACTTAATATAAATTAATTTAATAACTCTTTTAAATATTTTTAATAATATTACTTTTTATCTAAACTAAACTTAAATTTATCAGATTATATAAGCTTTTACTAATTTTTAATAATTTAATTTTTATAATTTTATATAAATTCTAATTAATTTTTTTTTGATATTTTTTATATTGATAGAATTTTTTCTTTTTATTTATGATATTAAATTATTATTTTATAATATATAATAAATAATAAATAATAATATATTTATATTTTTTTCTTAAATATATTTATTATTAATAAATATATAAAAAACTGTCAAGAAACTGATATTTTTGACTTTACTATTTATTTTATTATATTTATTTTAAAAAACAAGAAGAATTTATATATATATTTTTATATTTTAATTTATCATTCAAAAAGTTATAATATAAATAATATGAAAATAATATATAATTATAAATAATATAATAAGTTTATTTCTAATTTTATATTTATCTAAAAATAGCAAATAATAATAATTATTAAGATTTTAATATATTAAAATAATGATATTAAAAGTAAATTATTAAAAATTTAATGAGAATATATTATAATTTTCATAAAATATTTTAATTCAAAATTTTTTGTATATTAATTATGATTATCTGTTAAGATATATATAAAATATATAATAATTACCTATTAATTTATATTGATATATGTTATATTTTCTCTTTTTACTTGTTATTAATATATAATAATTATTTTTTTCTATTATCAAAAGATTAAAAATTTGATTCTGAGATTTGAAAGAACTTTTAACTAAAATTACAATAAATATTTCTTAATTAAATTATCTTATATTTATTCTTATAAATAATATAATATTTACCTTTTTAAATTTTAATTATTACTTTTTAGCTATTTACATAGTCTGTTTTTCATGTGTTGCAATATGCAATATACGTTTTATTATGATTTTAATAATTATTTTTGTTTATAGGTTTAATATAAATTGATAATTAATGTTTTAAAAAATTTCTGCCTTTTAAGTTTTATAAGTGTGCTTTTATACTAATATTTTTTTATTAAATGCAGTAAATTATCTATAAAAAATAAAATAAATTTTATTAATAATTCAACTGTATAAATTTTCATATTTCAGCATTCTTAGAATTTGATAAATAAAAAATCATCTTTGATCAAATTGTACATTTTAAAGTTTTCAGTTATCATTGTGTCGAAAGTGAGAAACTTATTTGGATTAAAACGTTATAAGAATTAATCGAGTATGAAAATCTGCAAGCTATCAAATATTTGTTTTTGGCAATCGTTAATTAAAACTTTACTGTTTACCATTATAAAAAAAAGTTAATGCTAATAAAAAAATTTAATTTAGTATGAGTGAAATACATGGGCATTTTTCAAATAAATTTGCGATTCACTAGAAAAGCGCCAACTTCTTCGTACTCTGCTTTCGATATACACATATCTTGAAATGTCGATAACTAAATACGATATGTAAATAAGGCATTGCCTGACAATAGTGCATTTGAGAAATACAATTAAACTCACCGAAGCAAGAACCGAGCCACCAATCCAAGGTAAATATTTCCTTTCTTCCGGCGCTAGAATCTAATAAAAATAAATTGCAAAATGGCATTCAAATTTGAATTTTGCTAGGAACAATATTATAAATTTGGATGAAACTTACTTTTGCTTTTGCGTGCAAAGCTGATTTGAGCTTGTTAGTTTTGAATGAAAAATCAGCATTGAAACATAAAATAAAATAACAATTACTTGGAGGCATTAAAATATCTAGTTCCTTATGCAATCTTTCAACAATTCCAGGAAACAAAGTGGATCCACTTTGCAAAGAAGCATGCGAATTAGTCACTTCAAAAATATTTTACATCTCACTTAAATATAAAATTTAACTTACCCAGAGAGAACAATGTTGCTCATCAGCAATTTCCGAAGTTCAATGTCACATTGTGAGATAGACTTAGCGATTGCTTCATGAATACCCGGATCCTCAAGACCCAATAATTTCGGTTTGAATAGAGCTTCAGGAATACGGAATCTGGAAAATTATCAAATATTCATTGACCCTGTCAAACTTTTAAATGCTTAATTATTAATTCACCTTTCACTTTGCACGACAATAATTTTTCCATCAGGTAATTCATGTGTTGTCTCGAAATCTTTCCATTCTTCAGGATTACCAATTGTTTTTTCATAATCTTGGGATACAAAACACACAGCTTCTTTAGTCGATTGAAGGATTTCATGGTCGGCAGTTGCGTTGAGCGAGTGACCACGCTCTAACAATAATGTAGCTAAATAAGTATCTAAATCGTATCCAGTTACTTGAATCCTTTGGAAACCGTGAGAGATCGATAATCCTTCATAAACGGGGACAATGTGCGTTATACCATGCCCGGAATTCAAGACAGTACCAGAACGTAGACCTATCGCATATAATGACAGAACAGCCTAATAAGAAGACAATTCAGATTTTTAAACTTTTTCACTTTTTCATAATTGCGATAAATAATCCGATTAACTTACTTGAATAGCGAGATAAAAAGACGGGATATTAAAAGTCTCAAACATAATCATCGCGGCACGTTCTCGTTTTTCTTTCGGATTTAACGAAACCTCCGTTAATAACACTGAATGTTCTTCCGGGACTACCTCAAGTTCGTTTGTGAATGCATGCTGCCAGATTGTTTCCATATCATCAAAGTTTGTGATTATCCCGTTTTGCACAGGGTTTCGAATTGATAAAATTCCACGTTTACGTTGTGCCTCTTCACCAATGTATGTATTTGGTTCTTCGCCTGTCAAAGTGTGATATTTTTCATTTCCAAGGATCGTAGGGAAAATCTAGGTAAAAATTTAGCGTTATGTCAATTTTTTTTATAAATTTAAAGATTTCAAAATGCATTTGAATGGTAAATTCAATACTTTATGCGGTGAACTTTGACCAACGAAGCCTGTTTTGTATGTATCGGATCCAGCATCAATAATAATCTATATTGATCAAGTATTATTATGATAAGTCTTGCGTTAAAAACGTTCATGATAAAATATACCAACAGTTGCTCCGTCATCCGCCATTTTTTAAATTTGAAAGCATCAAAAAAAACGAATGATTTATTTCAATTCAGTTTTTGTTTAGCGTCTGTGTGACAAAATTTGAGATTAGCCATTGTGGTGTTATATCAGATGATCTACAAGCAAACAGTGCACTTTTATCGTTTTATGATATCATCGATACCGATAGATCAAGTACATGTATACTGATTTCCCCCAAAGTTCTGAATATTAGACAGATTTTTAAGATCAGAATTGGGATTGGGAGAGGATCAATTAGCGTTAGTGCTCCAAGCTAAATTTGAGCATATATTTTCTGTCTTGGTCGGATTGATCAAAACCTGAGTACAGTCAGCCAATCAGCGTTGAGGAAACCAACAACTAAAGAAACAAAATGCATTTACTTGAATTCTAAAAAAGCTTACAGACATATTAAACTTTTACAGGATTGGCCCTGGACCAGTTCAGAATGTTTGTCCAAATATCTACATAATTAAATTATTAATAATTGTCCAAGAGCCAACCCTGAAATTTAAAACTTACATTATAATGCTGCTACTATAAATTTTATCGGGTAACGGTAACGGTCATTTTACGGATTATAGAAACACATAAATTGAAAATAGTTTTATTTTTGTCGATCATTAGACTATTGCACGAATGCTAGTAAAATAAAGTGCTTTTTGGCTTCTATCATTATATTAGAGTATCGGCGAAGTTTGACTGTAAATAAGCGTTTCAATCAAACAATAGACACCATATGTATTATCAACACATTAAAGTTACAGTAATCATTAATTAATAATTTTTACTCTTCTTTTATCATCGTTATAGAAATACATGTACATGTACAAAATGTAGCGCACGAAATTGGTGACGAACTTATTTGTTAAAGTAAGTGTCACATTACGCACGATATTATTAAAAAACCAATAATTCTGCTTAGAATTAAATAAGCTGAATAACAAATTACATGCACATTTATTCGTGAGTTTTATTTGTGTAAATGTAAATAGATGTAGTATATGTACATTCATGCAGGCATCTTTTCATTCGTCGTGCCAATTAAAAAAGATTATCAAACAAAAATTACTACATGTATTTTGAATAGTAATAAATAAATATCATGTATTAAAACGTAGGTAAGTTTTTAATTGACACATATATATATATTCAGTCTCGATTTCATTTGCGCGAGAAATTCCTTGTCCGTGATGAATTAAAGTTATTCAGCACATATATCTACTCTGTCTACTCACCTAACCCTACCTCCCACCACTATTATCTCTGACTGCTAACTCTAATAAAATAAAATATTTTTAATATCTTCAATGAATCCAATCAATAATGGCTATAACCATTCAACCCGACGAGAAGCTTTTCGATATTTTCCTTTTTCCAGCATTAGAATTTTGAAAAATCTTCAACACCGTGATAGTCTTTTTTCGTATGTGGCCTATTACGAAAATGGACAACGATCGAAATGTAGAGTTTTCCTAAGTGCCATACCAGAAAAAGTTGCATTGCATACAGTTCTTCTGAAAAAGGTTCAACATTTGCACTTTTCTTTAACCTATACACAGAATATAAAAAATTCAGTTTTTAATTTTGCTCTATAGAATTCTAGTTCTTATATCGCCTCGTTAGAGAACTTGAAATTGACAATAGAAGGAATCACCTATAGCAAACACATGCATAAATATCTGATGATCTGTCGTCTCAACAAATTATACGCAAGCACATTGGAATACGCACGAGACTGTTCTGCTAATTCATCCGTCGGTGGTCGAAACAAATATCTCGATATGAATTCTATGGAAATAATACAAACTTATGGCGGAATGCCAAAAACTTCTTTCCTTGATCAAGAGTGTCTGAAGTGCGGTCGCGTTCTCGAAACTATGGAATATTGTTCGTTCTGTAATCTAATAGACGTCGCTGGCGATGGGGATTCTTGTAAAAACGATGATGATAGTAAATGGGAATGCGGAAATGATCGATTAGATTTGTTGATTCGTGATTCACAGAATAGTGCCAAACAAGGAGAGGAATATCTACGATGGATTACTCATAATAAATTTAGTAATATGGAGTGTATAGGTGAAGGAGGCTTTGGAACTATGTATTCGGCTGATCATAGAGATTCAAACGGTAAATTTTGTATTCAATGCTAAGATCTATTTATTATTTTAAAATTAAGTGTTAACCAATTTTTTGTAATTTGCAGGTATGGTAACCAAAGTTGCTCTAAAATATCTTAAAAATTCTAAACAATTAAGCACTGAATTCTTAAACGAGGTAATTATTTCGCTAGTTTTATTTTTGGCAACAACAAATATGCTGATCGACTCTACACATAGTTTGAGGCTGCTTACAGCTGTCGAAGTCGTCGAATAATACAATGTTTGGGGATCACTCGAAATCCGGAAACAGAATCATACATATTTGTGTTTGAATTAGCAAACGGAGGAAATCTTCGAAACTTTTTACATGAACAGAAAAAACCACTTTTACTAGCCAGCAAACTAAAGCTTTTACGTGACATTGCAATCGGACTAGAGGTTATTCATGATGCCAATATGGTGCATCGTAATTTGCATAGCGGAAATGTGTTAATAAAAACATGCCCTAATGGCGAAATCCAGGCATTCATTAGTGATCTCGGTCTTTCAAGACCAACAATAAATTCCGCAAAGCCCACTACTTTGGGTACCTATGGTGTATTACCTTACGTGGCCCCAGAAATTCTTCGAGGTACTTCAAATAGATTTGGTAGTGCTGCTGATATCTACAGTTTTGGAATAATAATGGTCGAGATCATTTCGGAAACTGTTCCTTTTAGCGACAGACCACACGACCGAGAACTTGCACTCGATATTTGTCAAGGTTTACGCCCTGAAATTCCAGCAGAGACTCCAAAATGGATATTGGCGTTTTTGAAACGATGTTTGGAAGCGGATTTGGAAGAACGACCAACCGCTAGAGATATTCGTAAAATTCTGTACAACAAGTGTTTAGATATAGAATTCAAACGAGCACCAAACATGACAATTTGTTTATCACCGGGACAGCATCAACGACAGTGTCATCCAGAAGCAATTTATAAGAGTCGATTTCTTAGTTTCCCGAATCTTCCAGAGCCAACAAATTTCCCTTGTAATAATTACGATCACGATGAAGATGATGGCGGTATGTAATAAATTAATTCTAACCCCTTACCTTTTCCATCTTTTTAATTACATATCATTTTATTTAGCATCAGAATGATGATATACACAAGCTATTTAATATAATATCAAATGAATATATATGTTCCTCCGACTTTTGTCTAAAATACCATCAGACTTACACCCACACGCATTTTTCCAAATGCTAGTTTTTTTGACAACATTGACAACATTGACAACATTGACAAAATTTTGTCAGAGCCTGACCTTATTGGTTTGGTCGTCATAAATTGGAGCGAATATAGATACATGTGTTTTAATACTGTATTGATTGATATATGATTTTATATACAAATCAGAATCGATCTAATTCAATAAAAAATCGAATAATTGAATAGCATTCCATATAGTAAAGACTGTCCTCCCCAAGTCAGCTTTTTCAGTCTGGTGATCCAATTTTTAGCTTCTTTCCATTATTGGACTACGATTTGGCGATTGTGATGCCATTCTAAAGTCACAACTCCAAGATTATCTTTCACAAGCTTGCACTTGTGAATTGTTGCGTTATTTCCTTCTTTATAAGCTTCGGATAAACTATATCCAATATCAGATTTCTACATCAATGATTCAAATATTGTCTATTAATTTCCCATACTTTTAAATGTTGCTTTTGCATGATCAGGATCGTAAAGCTGACATCATACACAAGCTTTGCCACATGAATCGTTATAGAGAATTTGTCTGTCCAAAGAATATTTCACCATAATGCTTGTAAGTTTAACCCAATTACTTACCATATATTTGCGAAATAACGCGCGGGGTGTAATTTCAAATTTCGGCCTGAATTAAACTTAATGCGGGCCGTGCTTCGAATAACGCGCATGGGCGTTATTCCACGAGTATGCGGCAATTAATTATTGGTTTAGTATGAATTATATAAGATTAATATTGCCTTTTTTTAAAATTCTCATTAAAATGCACATAGAAGTTCATGAGATTTTAGCAAGAAGCAGATGTCTTGCACCTTTCTTATTGTTGGATTTTTTTAATTTCTCATAGAATCCGATAGATTTTTGAACACTATTATATCTTTTTAAATATTCGGTATTTTTGTTAATTCTATCTTTAGCACAAATAATGGGCCAGTCCAATAAAGTTCCCAATTTTTGCAATGAACACGTTCTATGCCTTGAGCGTTTTTATGGTATAATATTCGTTTTCAGTAAGATGTTTTTAAATACGCTATCTAAATAAATTTTATGGATAATTGAGTTTTTTATACCCTAATATTATTGATAATTCTTGTCTCGTATATAACAATTGGATATTGCATCAAACTATTGCATTTATATGATTTAATCGAGACTTTAGGTTTCTATGTCATAAATTATTATCAATTCGTGAACAAATGATTCAATTCAATTATATGCACTTTTTAATTTGATGTGTTATTGTACTTTTCCGTAAATATAATTTAAATATACATGTACATTAGCATGGAATTGGGCTACGTCATCACATAGATCCCGATCCGCGTGATATCGATATTGGGCATTAAAGAATTCATTAGTCTTGGCATCATGTTAAGAGTGGGATCGTGATGAAATCCAATTATAAATAGAGAAGACTTTAGAATAGAAGAAAAATTAATTAATTAGTTAGTAGAACTATAAAGTTAATTAATTAATTAACAATTGTAATGAACTTTTATTAAAAATAAATAAAGATTATTATTACTCCTACTTTATACACTGCTTCAAATTATTATTGCAATATTATTATTGATTTATCACAAGTTCTCTATTAAAAAAGAAGTCTATCCTGGGATTATACAAGAACTAATGAAACTTTGATATTATGTTCAACAAATTATCTTCTTAGATTGGAACTAGCAACACTACTATTAAAGAGAAAGTTGATTGACAAGAGATTATTAGTGATTAACGTTAATATAATAATAAATTAGTTAATAGAAAATGTGAAAAAATAACTAGAGATAATTCCATAATCATATAGTCTCATGATTTACTTGGTATATTTCTCATATTCAGATAATAGTTTTTGATCTGACAAGCTAGATTTTCATTAATCAAAAAGTCAGAAGAGAGAAGAGAGAGATTAATAATAAAGAATAATTAAGAGAAAAGTATCTGAGAAATTATCATCTTTGCTTAGAAGATTGTTAAACTAAATAAAAAATAATTAATTAAATAATCTTATCCTCGATGATGTTAGTTCTCTCACAAGATTAAATATTTTCTGAGAAATAGCAACTATTTATAGATCAGACCTTGATTCAAAATAATATAATGAAGTTAGCAATGACAGAAAATCTAACTGGAAAAGAAATAAAATTAGTTAATATATTGATACTTGCACTAAATTAATATAAAAAGAGAAAGATAAAGGAATCCCATCATACTTTTATGTATCGATCTTTTTACATGGTTTATTTGGTTTACCTACGTCGTGATTTTTGAATGTGTAAGTCAGTATGCAGTGTGTATCAAAAAATACAGTGGAAGATTATCGAGAAACAAATAGAATTGTTATTCGTCTCGTTGCGAGGTTGCATTCCGCATGATCCGACCGAGAGTCGTTTTCCTAACGCAAAAATGAACCAGAAAAGTTAAAGCTACACCTACAATCAAGCTCCCTTCTAGTGATAACACAAACACTTTGTTCAAAAAATGAGATAATAGCAGCATTGAGAACGAGTTTTCGCTCAGTTTCATCCGAGAATGATGTCATAATTATCGTTGAGAGTACGAACTGTGTTGTGTCAACAATCCTATTAACGGATCCCTTGTGTTTATCTGAGAATTCAGCTGGAGTCATAAGGAAAATTTTAATATTCTTCAATGAAAGACAAAAGATTAGCCCGTCCCATTACCCAACATGCGAAAATTAATTTTGCTGAATAGGCTTGAATTCAAAGAACTTTTTTTCAGAATACTAATAATAATAATATTTACCTACTCTTTTTCAGCGCTATAGTGCGTACAGTCTGTAACCATGATAAAATAAAATCCTGGTTACTCAACATCTCGAATTCAAATCCTGAAAACCAATATCCTGAAATGCTAAAATTGTACGTATGTGAAAATAAAGCAAGAAGAATAGGAGTTAACATATGAGAAGGTATGTAGGTTAGAGTAGTGTTGGATAATTCTTCGTTCTCTCACTCGTCGATACTGTATACAAGTGCTACAAGGAAAATGATACGTGATTGTTATTTTTATTAACACGTACTTACGAGTATTGGAGCGCAAACTGTTAAAATTTTAGTATTGTTTGGAGATTCGTGAATGCCGTATCGGGATTTCACCAAAACCCCCATTTATGTTTGATAATTAAATTGTACCACCTTATCGTTATTAGTTAGGCATTCTAATGTACACTCTCCTGACACGGGTCATGGGACTTTTTTCCGAATATAGTAATGCTCGATTTTTTCATAAAATTTCAAGTTCGAAATTCT